TCAAGAGGCCATTCAAGGTAGGTCTTTGTGTTCATTATTTTCCTCAGTTTACAGAATCTTTTGGGAATTGTTTGCTCCTGAATGGGCTCCAAAAGGATCAAAATTGCTGCATCATTATGCTCATCAAAGAGACGGAAGTGCGAGAACTCCAGCTCATACTTGCACCACTCGCTCTGCACAAAGTGCTCTGACAGCACAAACAGAGTTTTATGACTTTTTTCAATGGAGTCAATGATGTTGTCAATGATCCACTTCCCAGGCACAAAGTCCCGTTTATGAAGGCACAGTTTAAATGGGGGGATAGCGTTCTCAAGTTCCTGTACCATTAAGTTTTCAACCCATTCGGAATCTCTTTCACTGTAGGAAACAAAAGCATCATAGCAAAAGACATGATTGTGTGATTTCTTGGGTTTCCTTTTTGCTTGAAGCCAAGCCCAGGTCATTTTCATGTACCAGATCACATGAAGTTTGTAGCCCAGGGTCACAATAAGCAGGATTACCAAGACCACCAGAATGCAAATTAAGGACACGGCCAAAGTTCTGTGACATTCAAACAGCGAAAGCCGAGCAGCTTTTACCTGCTGCCCTCTCACAGAGGACGGAGAGTCACAGATGTAATTCTCTGGCCAGTTAGCCAAGACATTAGCTATTCCCTCCTGATATTGAATGAAGGAGAGAAATTCACAAGAGCAGATGAAATTATTGTCACCTGCATCCAGTGTCTCCATTTTCCTAAATGATCCAAACTCTTCCTTCGAGAAACTGGTTAATTTGTTTCTGCTGATTCTCAAGGCTACTAAGTTAGGAATAAATGGAGCATCTGGCAAGGTCTTTAATTTGTTTTTTGAAACATAGAGCTCTTTGAGACGTGGTAGCTTTAATCTAAAATCATCGAGGTTATTACTACTAACATCCAAAACTTCAAGAGTTTGAGGAATGCACGTTGTTAATTTGGGTATTTGAGTGCCTGAGATATTTAAATATTTCAGGTTTTCTGGCCA